GGCCAGACCTGCCGCCGGCACGCAGCTGCTCGAGGCAAGGGCAGATAGGGGCCCGGGCAGGAAGAGGGGCTTGGTGGCAGCCTTGAGGGTGGCGGCCTCGTTGGCGGCCTTCTTGGGGTTCGAGTCGGAGAACAGCCAGGCCTGTTGCGCGCGCCGGGTCAGCTCCTTCTCCGACAGCCCTGGCTCCTCCCCCCGAAGTCGCATCTTGAAGCCATTCTTGAAGACGGTGCTTGCCTTGACGGTTTTCCGATGGTCCTGCTCGGGAACGCACTGGATGCCGAGGCGTTTGCAACGCGAGCAAGTGCGCACCGCGCCGTCCGGAGCGATCATGTCGCACTGCGTGCGAGCGCTGCGGCAGGACCGACAGAGCTTGTTGATGGTCATGAGATTGGGAAAGCAGGTGGGGTGACCGGGCCGACAAGGATTTCTGCGGTGTGTGTCGAAAGACTGAAGCAGCTAACCCGGACGACAAGGATTTCGCGGTGTGTCCCGAGACCTCGAGAGAGAAATTGGCTCGACGCCAACACTTTTCTTTCCGTGCAATATTAGGTGCCCTGTAGGCTTGGCTGCAAAGGGGATTTTTGTTGTGCCGACTTCGATCTTCGTGTGTGCTCCGCTTCTGAGAGAGAGATTTTGAGACATGAGAGAGAGAGAGACAGAGAGACAGAGAGAGAGAGAGAGAGAGAGAGAGAGAGAGAGAGAGAGAGCCGAGATAGACGAAAGAGAGAGATTTTGAGTGAGACGGTTTAGAGAGAGAGAGAGAGAGAGAGAGAGAGAGAGAGAGAGAGAGAGAGAGAGAGAGAGGGAGGGAGGGAGTACATTTCTTTCTAATTTTATTTCGCTAGTGGGGGAAATGGTAAATTTTGAAAGTCGCACTACAAGCCCGGCAAGCTCAGCACTGACTGTGGACACTATGGGGAGTCTATAGCTATGCCCCTTACATCCAGGGACCGACCACACGAGGGCCCACACCCGTCTCAAGACAGACAAATTTCGGTCACCGGCGCGCGCGCGGCGCCTCCTCCTCCTCCTCCTCTTCAATGAGCGGCGTGCGGGGCGGGCCGGTGGCGCCCAGCTCGCGGGGATCGAGCCGCCACCCATATGAGACGGGCCTGTTCCACTTCTCGGGAAGAAAGGCGATCCATCTCTCCCCCGCCGGCTCGTCGTACTCGGGGTCGGCGTCCCAAGCCCAGAGCAGCATGCCGGCCGGGAGGATCTTGCGTGCGCGCGGGCTCCTCTTGTCGGTGAGGCCGTCCGCGACGCGCTTCACCCTGCCGGCGGCCCAGATCTTGACCGT